TAATCTCGGTTTGGGGGAGATCTGGGCAACCTTCAGTCTGGTGTTGATGTCCCACCACCCTCAAAACAAAGAGAGGCCCAGGAGCTGGCCCGGCACACGTCTGCGCACTACAGGTCATCTAGTGATGCTACGTAAAGTCAAAGATCCATCTCATGTCAGGGATTTGTTAACACTAGAAAAAAACCAAAGGTGTAATTTGGGATTCACATCAGGAAGTGATGATGACAACCTAGACTGGACACCAGCTCTTCTCTGATGAATACCTCAATACACTACTTCCCTAAGTTCACAACACTTGCCATCTCCAGGATATCTGTATTTATGTATTTAAGAGGGATAAAAATATTGTTGTGATGAAACCGATCTATGTCTTGTCTGAGGTGGAGGTTACAAGAATGCATGCGTGCATACGCGTGACCACACATGCACAGTGAATAAAGTCTGTAGATTATGCTGATGTCCATTTTCTGGTTTTGCTATTACGGTTATGTGCGACGTCACCATTGGAGAAAGTTGGGTAAACTACACAGGACCCCTCTGTACTATATTATATGAAATTAATCTGTATGTGTATATATAAAATTCTGCCTCCAGACTGCCTTTAGACTTGAGCTACAACATCAACTCTTCCCTGGGTCTGCCTCTCTTGGCCTGTCCTGCATATTTCAGACTGGCCAGCCTGAAGTCGTGTGACTCAGCTGCTTAAATTAATCTCATATACACAGACATCACTGGGTCTGTTTCTCTGGAGAACCCTACGATAGATTTTATACTAATATACTACTGTAATATATACATACATATAATCTGAAACAATACAGAAGAAACTGATACATGCTTGCCTCTCGCAGGAAGAACAGGACGGAGAGGGGGGAGCACGACCCTTACGTACCAAACAGCCTTTTGTGCTGCTGCCAGCCCGGCCACCCCAGGTCCAAGCAGATATAATGGTGTGTGGCCCAGGCAGTGGCTACACAGCTAAGGATTTTAAGGCACAATGCAGCGAGATGCCAGGGCCACAGTCACACACATGGAACATTCTAAAGCCAAGAGCGGTCACAGGATTCTGCGCATGGGCCCCCGAGGGCACTCTGGAGGCCGTCGCAGACCCTCAGGTCCCACGTGAGGAGACAGCCCGCTAGAACACAGCAGACGGCCCTCCTCCCAGATCTCGCCTGGGTCAGCCTCCCGGGCACCCGGCCTCCTCTGCACAGCACTGGGCAGGCTCACAGAGGGAAGAGCGGCCCAAACCCAAAGGTCACACCAAACCCCACGGGAGAAGAGTAAACCAAGGTGATGAGGGGAGAGGGGAGGGGTCCCTCGGGAAGCTGGCCACTCAGGATTTCCAGCCTCTTCCACAGGAAGCCAGCTCACGAAGCACCAAGACCTGTCCTGGGTCACACTCAGAGGACTTGACCCCTGACCCCACAGCCCCGCTTCCCAAGCCTCCTCGATGCTGACGATGCTGACGCAGATCAGCATGGAGGAATGGGGGACTGCACGGCTGGGGGGCTGTTGGGAACTCAGGACTGGCCCACCCCGAGGCCCTGCGCCAGCAGGCGCCACACTCACTGGATGGTCTCATTGATTTCGTGAGCGGCATCGTGGGGTTTAAACGTCCTGAAAGACAACGGGACAGGTTTCAGAGCCGTCCCTCCCCGCTCAGGTGACGGGGGCGACCAGGGGAGGCGGGTGCTGCAGCCCCTGGGACTCCCCGACACGCGGGACCTACCAGAGAGCTCCACCTACAGCGCTGGGGCCCTGTCCTGCCACGTGGGACACGCTGGCTCCGGGAGCGCCTGTTCCTGCAGCGCCCTGCCGCCCAGCGGGCTGCGGGGAAGGGACCGGGACGGACTTGAAGCCTCCGACCCTCCTGCCCCAGGACCTCCCCCGGGCGCTCCTGCAGCCTGGAAGCCACAGGTCTGCCTCTGAGTCCCTGAACCGCCGCAGGCCTCGGTCTCCATCTGTAAAATGGGGAAACACCACTCGTGCAACCACCATGAGCGGGCGAGCAGCGTTCCTCCCTCCCGCCCACGGCGGCACTCTCCGGGCCTCACTGCACCCGCGGGCTGGCCTGACCGCTTTCCCCAAGGAGCACGTCGGGGGTTGCTCTGGCCTTTCGCCGGGGTCTTGGCGGCCACCTAACCCAAGACCCCGCAGAAACCAAGTGAGGACAACGCATCGTGTGGACGGTCTGTAACTCTAGACTGCACCTCCGCCCCGCCGGTGAAGGTTCCTATCGCGGTGAGGAGGGGCCTCGAAGAGGATGCACAGCGAGAGGAGGGCCCCCGAAGAGCACGGGCTGAAGCTGGAGGTGAGATGGTCAGGCCCAGAGCTGCCAGCCCTGCCCCAGGACAGCAACTGCCCCTCTCAGACCAGGCCACCATTTCCACGCTTCACAGTGGAGGACGGCAACGCAGGCAGAGCCCCTACGGGCCAGGGCACGGATGCCCGGAAGGTCCCAGGACAGGGGCCCCCACGGTGCAGCGGTCCTAACAGGTCAAACAACTCCAGAAACACCCTTTGGGTCCTAAGCCTCATCTTTGCAACAGCAGCCCTACTGAGCTATAATTCACACAGAATGGGCCCCCGCTTCAAGTATACACTTCAGTGGGTTTTAATACATTCAGAGCTGGGCAACCATCCCCTCTATCTAGTTCCAGAACATCCCATCACCCCATTAGCAGACGCGCCCCAATCCCCTCCCCAGCCCCTGACAACACTAGTCCATTCTCTGTTTCTGTGGATTTGCCCGTTCTGGACGTTTGTAAATAGAATTACGGTATGTGACCTTTTGCCCAAAATCTTATTTTTTAAGGAAAAGGAAAAAAACAATCTTCTATCGTTCTTAATAATATCCTCCAACTTACCAAGGACGGAGCAGTAAATATCCATTGAACTCATATTACTTAGACAAGGCCGGGGCGGGAGATGGAGCATGTGCCGTCCGTTCGGTCCAGCACAGGACAGCCCTGCAGACCAGTGGTTCCCGACACGGGGGAACCGACCCGCAGCGTCAGCACCACTGCTGACCCAAAAACCCTGGGGAAGAACCACTGATGGGAACAATTGGCCCCAAGGCCTCCTGGCAAACGGCAGAAAACAGTGAGGACAGCTGGGTTTGGAAAACAGTCTGGCAGCTCCTCAAAGGTTAAACAGTTAGCAAATGACCCAGTAATTCCTCTCCTGGGTGTCTGCCCAAGAGAAATGAGAATATTCGTCCACACAAAACCCTGAACGTTGGGCTTCCCTGGTGGGGCAGTAGCTATGAATCCGTCTACCAATGCAGGGGACACAGGTTCGAGCCCTGGTCCAGGAAGATCCCACATGCCGCGGAGCAATGAAGCCCGTGCGCCACAACTACAGAGCCCACGTGCTGCAACTACTGAAGCCCGCATGCCTAGAGCCTGTGCTCCGCAACAAGAGAAGCCACTGCAACGAGAAGCCCGCACACTGCAACAAAGACTAGAGCCCACTCACCACAACTAGAGAAAGCCCGCGCATAGCAACGAAGACCCAAGGCAGCCAGAGAAAAAAAACACACCCAAAACCCGAACATTAGTGTTCACAGAGGCGTGATTCACAACCGCCAAAAGGTGGAAACCACCTAAATGTCCATCAACAGATGAACGGATAAACAAATGTGTCCCTCCACACACAGAAATATTATCCATCCACGAAAAAGAGTGAAGCACTGACACTCGCTACAACGTGGATGGACCCTGAGAACACAATGCTCAGTGAGAGAAGCCAGACGGAGGACACACAGTGTGTGTGATTCCACTGATGGGAAACGTCCAGAACAGGCAAGTGCACAGAGACAGAGAGTGGGTTCCTGGTTGTCAGAGGCTGGGGAGGGGGACAGGAGGGATGCTAATGGGGATGGGGTTTCCTCTCAGGGTGATGGAACGTTCTAAAATTGGTAGTAGTGACGACTACACTCAATGAATACACTACAAAGCAGGGAACGGCACGCTTTAGGTGGATGAGGTGAAGAGTGTGGGAATTACACCTCAAAACAGCTATCAACAACAGCAACAGGGACTTCCCTGGCGGTCCAGTGGTTAGGACTCTGTGCTTTCACTGCCGAGGGTCCAGGTTCAATCGCTGGTTGGGGAACTAAGATCCCACGAGCTGCACGGTGTGGCGAAAAACAAACAAAAAACCACAACACAATCTATAGGAGGAAATGTGAGGCAGTGTTAAAAGCACCTCCACCTCAGTAGGAAAATACCGAGCATCTAAGACACTCATGTGGCCGACGGACTCTGTTCCTGGTACACAACATTCAGTGATTCCAGAGAGACAGCCCTGGCAGCCCTGAATTCCCTGGGCTCCTGTACCCACTGAAAGCAGAGAAGACGCCACACTTCCCGCAGGGTCTGCTCAGAGACAAAAGCACACAGCACAGTGTACAAGGCACTGAGGTAGCCACAGGATGAGGAGGAGGGTCTAGAACTTTCCACCAATGCTCTCCCGCATCACACTCCTCCTGAGGGGAGCCGGCCCCCGTGCACTGAGGAGCCTCAGCAGCCCTGTGGGGCCCACGTGCAGAGGAGCCATGGGTGGGGCCTCCTGGAAGCCAGGCATCCCGCCCGGTCCAGCCTTCGGATGGGGCAGCCACGGCTGAAGCCCCTACTGCAGCCTCCTGAGGGACC